TTCCTCCCCTCCCCCTTCCTCCCCTTCCCCCCTGCCTTCCTTCAGCAAAGCACCATGTGTCCTGTGCGCTCACTGGCACTGAGGGACAGATAGAGGGTCTGTCCCTTTTCTGACTTTCCTTGCTGTCCAGTTAGGTTTGGGGAGAAGTTTGGGCCAGCACTGAGAAGGGACAGGGAAGCTAGGTGGACATGGGGCCCGAGAGGGGTGGACACAGCGCCCCCTGCAGGCCGGGGAGGACATGGCTTATAGACTTGGGGTGAGGGCCCAGGTCCCAGAGAGGGGCATGATGGGGAGACAGTGGGCCCAACTGGGCCCGATGCCGGGGACCCCAGCCTGGCCCCAGAGGCAGCACCTGGGAGCTGGAGGCGGAGCGAGGGGTGCGCAGAGGCTGGGGCTGAGCCAGCGTGGCCTGCGGGCCGGGGCGGGCCTGAGAGGGGCCCAGGGAGGGGAGGTTTGGAAACACCTGCCAGAGACGGGCTGGGGTGAGGGCCCAGGCCTCAGGTGGGGCCCGGCAGGGGTGGGGTTCCCAAGAGCCGTGGTACCGGTCCCATACAGGCCCCGTGTGGGCCAGCCCTTTAGAGCTGGGGCAGGCCTGGGCGCACGGCCCGGTTTCAGCAGATGGGAGAGCGAGTCGAGATTCGGGCCGGAGCCACACAGAATCAGAGCGGCGCTGACTCAGCAGAGGCCGTGACGGAAGAGCTGGGCCGCAAGCTCGGCCGCGCACCAGAGCAGGTGGGGTGCCCGAGCGCCCAGACCTCCAGGGACACCCCCGGGAGTGGGGACGGTCACCTTGGCCAGCCCCACCACAAGGTTTAAGGCTCCCGTATGCCAGGGATGGGCGCACGGAGCTCGTCCCATGTCCTCGCGACCCCAAGGCCACTGCCATTCGCGTCCAGTCTTGCAGCAGAGTGCGCTGGCACACAGGAAGGTCAGGGACTCGCCAAAGCCACGCAGCAAGGAAACGGGGCTCAAACTGGGCCTCCAGAAACGCGAGGCCTAGACACACTGCACGCGGTCAGGACGGGAGAAGGGATTGTGAGTTTTAGTGGTCTGTCTCCCAGTGTGAGTCAGTGCGACTGCGATGCCAACAGATATAAACGCACCCACAGGCTACATAAACAGGAGCATCACCACCAGACTAGGGGAGGTGATAAAATCCCTTCCTGATCACGTCACTGATCTAGATGCAGGTTGTATTGTGTTTGGACCTGGAGGACATTTTTACAGAACGATACTGACAAGCACGAGAGTGGCTGGCGGGGGGCTGAAAGGGCTGTGATGGGGAAGTGGGGTGAAGAGACCTGTGCTCTGACGCCAGAGGAGAGTGACCCAAGGCACTGGGGTGTCTGACTGAGGAGCGTGATGGCCACAGTACACGCAGCTCCTCCCGTCCCCGCTTCCAGAAGACAGGCTGTGGCAGGAAAGGGGCCGCGGGCGTGCAGCGGGCAGCGAGGAGGAAGACGCGTGGTCCTGCAAAGGGGCGCGGTGCCTGAGACGGAGGGGCTCCCCAGTGCTTGGAGGCTGCCAGCAGAGGCTGGAGAGCTCTGTCGGGGGCTTGAGGCAGCTCCGGGCCGTGGAGGGAACGAAGTTCCTGGTCCCCAAGCCTCCCCGACCCGCGGCCTGGAAGCCTGTGCCGCTCCGAGCGCGGCTGCAGGAGGCTCCCTCCGTGGAGGGCGGCCGAGAGCTCCCAGCGTTCTCACCACCTCGGCGGCAGTGGGGTTTGCATCATCCTCTGTTTTCCAAGGGCTGGGCCGGGGAAGGCTCCAATGGAAACTTGAAAGAGCCCGAGTTCCCACCTGCTCAGGGCTGACATTCCTCTTCCCACTCGTCAGTGTTTGTTCTGGCGTCGAGCCACCGCGGAGCTCAGCGGACAGGGCTGAACTCCGGTACCCGCGTGGCCGGGCAGGGGCAGCGGTTCGGAGGGGTGCCAGGGCAGGCCTGGGGGCGCCCGCGGCTGGCTGGGGCGGGGCGGAATTTCCCAACAAGTTGTGAAAACCGCCTCTGAGCAGTGCCCTGTCCTCGCCCAAACCTTCAGCTGGGGCCGTGGGGCAGGGCTCCCGGCCCGGCGGGGTGCGGAGGGGCGCCCCACGGGGGGTGCTGAGTCGCCAGCGGCTGGAAGCCAAGGCGCAGTGGCTCGGCCTTGTGTCCGAGAAGGCCGCGGCGCCGGGGCCAAGCGGCGGAAGGGCAAGACTCGGAGACGGCGGAGCGTCCAGGGACGGCGGTGAGGCGCGCAGGAGGTGGAGACCGGTGGGGCGCAAGGTGCAAGGCGCCTCGGCAGGACTGGCAGGGGAGCGCCGCCCTGAGGAGGGGCGCACGCTCGGGGTCGGCGTGCCGCGGGGCCAGGCACCAGTGTCCCGTTCGTTCGCAGGGCCAGAGGGGAACACATTTGAAACAATACGATCCTTTGAAGTGTAATTCCACAAGGAAGAACTTAAATACAGAAACGTTTCCAACTGAGTCCATGAGCTGGGCTGTGTGGGACAGACAGAGCTCAAGGGTGCAAAGTGGGGTCCAGAAGGGGACCCCCACCATGTCTAACATCCTCTGCCCCCCGAGGGGCCAGGGGCGGAACAGGGTTTGGCCTAGAACGGAGCTTCCGCCCTTCCCAATAATTAATTCAAAATGGGTCACAGGCAAACAGAAACTTCAAGACTGCGAAACTCATAGGAGACTCTGCGGGAGAAAATCTGGATGACCCTGGGCTTGGCGGGGACCTTTTAGATACCACCAAAGACAAGGTCCATGGAAGAAGAAATTGAGCTCCATGAAAATCTGACAGCTTTCCTGGGTGAAAGACAATGTCAAGGGAAAGAGAAGACAAGTCATGACTGGAGGAATATTTGCAAAGGACTGTGGCCCAAGATAAACAGAGAACTCTTAAACCTCGACAATAAGAAAACACCCTGGTTGAAAAAACATGTAAAGACCTTGGCAGACACCTCACCCGAGAAGGTCTACTGATGGCAAACGAGCCTCTGGGAAGATACGCCAGCCGTAGAGCGTCAGGGAATTGCACATCGAGAGAGGAGTGAGACGTGACTGTGCACCGCGGAGCGGCCAGGCCCAGAACGCAGACAACACCAAGTGCAGACGAGGATACAGTGCACCGGGAGAGCCTTCTTTGCCCCTTTATGGGCAGTGGGGTGTTGCGGGAGGACCTCGCACGTGTGGAATGCCCCGTTCCTCACGAGCCTTGCCCACCGGGTCTGGCCCCTGGTGCAGGCTCCTGGCTGAGTTGTTCCTAGAATGGTGACCAGTGGGGCCACTTCATGAATGAATGCACATGTCACGCCTGACATATCACACGAGGCACCTGCATCTTACATGTTCTTGTGTCGTGGAGTAATAGGGGAGATGCTCACCCTCTTGTCAGGAAGTCCCCACACAGTGGAGCGGTGGGAGAGACACCCGGCTGCTGCCCCCACCCCTGCCGGCAAGCTGACCCCTGTAGAGGACTCCAGCAGTGCAGTCTTGAGGGGCTGATGGGGAGTCAACAAAGGGCTTTAAACAATGACACATCTGATGTATGTTAAGTGAAATAAATTAGATAAAAACTAAACTTCCTCTCATGTCCCTAAAACAAATTTGATTTCTTTCTGAGTCCATTCTCAACTACTTGCCCCCCGACTTAGTGAGCTCAGAATGAAATTTGTACTAAAGTGCAAATGACTAACCAAGAAGCAAACACTCGCTGCTGTGTTGAAACACTTGTAAGGGTGCAGGGTGCTCCATCCAGGGACACTGGTGAAAAGACCTGGAGATAATACTCCGCTTGCTCCACTGTCCAGAAGCAACTGCCCGTCTACTGATGAGCATGTGCGAGGCCCCCAGGGGCGTGGACACAGAGGCTCCAGTGCAGGCTTCTGGCCTGGCACACCTGCCAGCTCCCTCCCTGGATGCCCCGTACCTTTGGTTTCCTTGAGCAGCTCTTCGGTGAACTTGACCACCTGGGCCACCCCGGTCCACGGGAAGCCCTTGCCTACGGCAAAGACGATGCTCTCATACAAGGTGTCCAGCAGGATGCTTCTGCGCGCATCCCTCAGCTCGTCAAACTCCTCCCAGTTCAGCAGCCTCCGCAGGTGCTCCCGCCCTTCTGGTCTCTGCAGGACACGTGGGACAGGGAGCAGGATGCCATCTTCACCGCCAAAGCTCTCCTGGGAGCCCGAGAGGTGCCCCGCCGCCCTGAGGAACAGCTAGGGATGTGGGTATGCCGGACAGAGCTCTGCTTGTGTGGACAGCCTTCCCTCCCCTTTCTAGGACGGGGCGCTTCTCCCTGGCACTGCCTGGCTCAGCGCTCAGCTCCCACAGCTGGGCAGCCCGAGTCCCACTGCTGCCTGGAAGGAAGTTTGGTTTCCCTCCGAGCCCACTGCCCCGGAGCGGACAGCGGGACCTAGACTGAAGGGTGAGTGCTGGCCCGCAGAGGTTCGGGGAGGCGAAGCTTTAGCAGAGAAGTGTATCCTGCCCCGTGAAAGCTGAGCCCTCTGGCCGCAGGGCTCCTCTTACTGTGCCCATGTCAGCACCCAGAACTCACTTCACTGAGGACGGCACTGGCCCCTGTCGGAACAGTCTGAGGGGTCATCAACAGATGGATCCTGAGGCTGGGGGGCCGCGGGCAGTCTGGCCTGGTGCCGGCCCATAAGACTGTGGCTGTGGGCCAGAAGCCGGCCCGAGCCCCACACCCTGAGCCCTTGTCTGGAAGGGGTTCGCGGGGGGCTCCGGCCTGCAGCAGGGTCTTCCCAGCCCCATGGGTCCTCCCTGGCTTGCACCTTTCAGCCTTGGAGCTAGTGTTGAGAAGCCAGTGGGGTGGACCCGGCCCCCCCCAAGTAACAGACCCCTTCCCCTGCCCCTCTGACACCCCCACACCCCCAGGCAGCCTGCGGCTCTGGTGAGGGTGTCACTTGCCGGAACCAGCCCCGGGCCTCTAAATTCCTTGCTTCGGAGCTGGCCCTGGGATAGGGGGTCACAGGCCAGGGGGTGGCCCAGGGTTCCAGGGCCCGATCGACCACGTGGCATTCCTGTGTGCCCCGTCGAGGGCCTCAAGGGGGGCTCTGGGTCATAGGAGACACCCTCCGGGGCCCCCACTCACAGCCCGTGCTTAGGGCTGCTGGAGACGCCCTTCACAGCAGAGCCAGCTTTTCCCTTCACCTGGAACTGGAAGACTTTTTTCACTCCCTGGGGTGTTAGGAGTGCCATGGCCCCACGTCCAGTTGCTAGGAGACCTGGCCAGGACTGGCCTGGCGGCTCCTGAAGCCGGGAGGAGGGTGTGGCTTTGTGAGGTCACGGGACCCGCGGCCCCCTCCGCCCCTCTCCAGGGTCTGGCCTCAGACCCCCTTCCCATGTGCGCACCCCATCCTCCCGGCCTGCCCCGTTTCTCTCCCCCCGTCCACACAGCCAGGGACGTGTCCCCACCAGGGCGCTGCCTCCGGTGGCCCCCCCATGTGTCCCCGGGACCGGCTGCCCCTCTTCCCTGCCAGTGCTGTCTGTGACTCCGTTTCCCACATCCTGACTTTGCTCTGGGGGTACAGAAACCAGCACCGTGGGGATGTTCCCAAGTCCAGCACCCAAGGGCCCACCAGCTGGACTCATAGGGACCCGCCGACTCCCTCTGGGTAGCTTCGCCCCTCTGTGTCTGGGAAGCCCTGGCGCCCACTGGCCTCCTGAGGGCAAGCCCTGCCCGTCGGCCCCAGCCACGCGCTCAGGGGCCTCGGGGAGCCCAGTGCTGGTCAGGGTGGTGGCTAGGCGGGCCTCTTGGCTCTTGGGGCTCCGGCCTGGCTGCAGGTGAGCGTGAAAGCGGCGGTGTCCCTGGCTCCGGAGCTCCCTGCACCAAGCCCTCTCCCGTGGCCCCCAGGCCCCCAGTTTGTGCTTGACCCTGCGTTTGAGCATCCTCAAGATCTCACACAGGCGGGCTCACAGAATTTGTCGCGCCGTGACTGGTTTATTTCACTCAGCGTAACATCCTCGAGGTCCGCCCGTGTTATGGCAGGTGCCCGGGGGTCCTCCCTTTTGAAGGCTGAGTAATATTCCAAGGCGTGGTGGGACCGCAGGTGCTTATCCACTCACCTGTGGTTGGACGTTTGGGTAGAATTGCCGAGGGGGACATGGGCGTGCCAGTGAGGGCGCTGCAATCTGTAGGGTCAGAAACCCCCACTGGCCCTCTGCTGCATCCCAGCAGCTTGTAACGGTGACCTCAGAATGTGGCCACACGGGGAAGGCAAAGCAGGCATCTTCTCCCAACTGGGACTTACTGCCACCAGCCCACGGCCATGCTTTGAGGCTCAGGCTTGCACAGTGACAGAACAGTGAGCGTCTCTGGTCCCCGTGGTTACAGCCACGTGCCATCAGCTGGAAGCGACTAGAACCCAGGTCCACTCCGCCTGGAGAGGGCCACCTGCCACTGAGGAGAGGGCCGCCTGCCACTGAAAGCTCAGCCTGCGGCATCCCATGTCTCCTCAGCCTCTAGCCTGCGCTAGGTCTAAACCCAAAGGAAAGCGGTGCCCTTCTGGGTCCTCGCAGGTGGCAGTCTGAGGTGGGGCTGACGGGTGGAGAAGAGCCTCCCGAGGAGAGTGCCCCTGGTGGGCTGCCGCCAGGATGCAGTCCAGGACCAAGACCGAGGGCTGGGCTTGTCCTGCTGGACTTTCCCTGACCACTGGTAGGTGGCGGCCGTGGTAGGTGACCGCCGTGGTAGGTGGCGGCCGTGGTAGGTGGCGGCCGTGGTAGGTGACCGCCGTGGTAGGTGGCGGCCCTGGTAGATGACGGCCGTGGTAGGTGACTGCCGTGGTAGCTGGCGGTAGGTGACTGCCGTGGTAGCTGGCCGCTGTGGTAGGTGACCGCCGTGGCTTCCCACTCTCCAGGGCTGGCTGGGAGTTTCAGTGGCAGAGTTGTCTTCCCTTTGGCCACTGCGTGTGGAGTGCGCTGGGGCTCTGAGTTTCATTTTGGAGTTTTGGGCCACAGGACCTCATCCAGGCGTGCGGAGAGACCCGCCCTGACGCCCGTGGCCGAGAACTTGCAGAAGGGTGTTTACGGCCGGCGGAGAGCTACTTAGGCCGACCTGGACAGGCGCAGCTGGCGGTGTGCGCGGCACGCTTGTGCCGTCTCACCAGCGGAGCCCCAGCCCCGGAGTGACAAGGTCTCCTCTTCCCGTGCAGGCTGGGGTGAGCGGTCCCACGACATGGCTTGGGTAGGGCTTCTGGATTTGGGAAGTGTTTGCCCTTTGCCCTTTCGTCTGCCAGCCTGCGAGCTGGTTCATCCCACCCTGCGGTCCCTGGGCCAGCAAGGCCTGTGGCACCAGCCGCTGCCCACTGGGCTCAGGACATCGTGTGCTGGTGAAGAACAGGCTCTGCGTCTTGTCCCAGCCACTGCTGCCCGGGCTCAGGTCTCCAGTGGCTCCACGCGCTCCATCGGGCCTGCGGAGACGCCAGTGGGTCACATCAGGCCACGAGATGACCCAGGCAGCGAGGGGCTCTTTACACAAGTAAAGTGATTTGCCAGAGGCAGGAAGTGGGACGCCCAGGTCTCAGGATGTCTCCCTGGGCCAGGCTTGGCCGCACGTCCACTTCCCGTGCAGGCCCTGAGAAAGGGGCAGTGAGTGGTCTGGGAGCGTCTTCCAGGGCCGGGAGGGTGGGAAGCTGCTCGTTAGCATAAAAGACCCGGCAAGGACAAACATCCTGACAGAACCAGTCCAGCCACCGGGACACGTCTCACTTGAGAGGGTCTGCGGAAGCTTCGTGAACCTGCGGCCGGCCACGGAGCGGACCCCCAGTCCCAGGGCACGGCCCCGGGGAGGCCGCAGGTGCACAGCAGAGAGGTCAGGTCTAGGGCCAGCAGCCCTCAGCAGCGCCCGCATTCTTTCGCCCTCGGAGGCACTGAGGAGCCACCGCCTGGCCATTCCGATAAGCATGGGCTAGAGACACTCTGCCACCCTCCATGCACAGCCCCCACCTGCCTGCCCCACCTGCCCGCCCTCACCTGCCCTGCCTCACCTGCCCGCCCTCACCTGCCCGCCCTCACCTGCCCGCCCCACCTGTCCCCCTTCTAGGCTTTTGTCCCTTTTCTCACTCTGTCCACAGGCGCTTGGTGACTTCTCTGGCCACAGCCACAATTGGCCGCCCGACGCTCCACCCCTCCCCTGCTGCCCTGCGGGCCACCTTATCACCGTCAGCCCCTCGAGGGTCCTGCGGGCTCCCTGGGGCCAGCGGCTGCCGGCAGACTTGCCCCAGCAGTGGGGTAGGCCTTGCCCCTCCCCCACCAGCGCCCCCAGCCTAGGTGGGAGGGAGCCAAGTCTCAAAGGAACCCGAGCTGGGGCGGAGGAGGGCCCCAGGCCAGAGTACCCTGGAGATGATTCAGCAGGAGACAGGGTGGGACCCCTGGGGAAGAAGGTCGGGCCAGAGAGAGGGTGGCGTCTGCTAGATCAGGCCGGGCGCAGCTCGGGCCCCCTTGTCCCCTAAATCAGTGGGTGGGTGATGAGACAGGACGTGGGGGTGTGTGTGGGAAGCTTGAGAAGGGCCACGAGCCGGACTGCAGTGTGGGAGCCCCGGGACGCCGCTTGAGCCCCGGGAGGAGCCCTCTAGGGTTTCCCAGCAGCTTGACCGCGCTGGACAGCAGAAGGAGGCGCTGGGCGACCTGCATAGGAGGGGGCGGGGCGGGGTGGGAGGTGCCTGTGGAGTGGGCGTGGCTTGGAGATGTGCCGCCCCCAGCTGGGCTTCCATTGGCTGTAAGGGACGTGGGCGTGGCCGTGGGGTAGCCAATCACCTCTCCTGCCCCAGCCCTTCTGCGGGGGACCAGGGTGGTGGTGCAGGCATGAGGGGGCCTGGGATGGCACGAGGACCGCCCTGAATAGCGGCCTCCGTGAGGCCGAGTCCCGAGCGGTGACCGGGGGCCGAGGTGGAAGGCGCCCCCCGGAGAGGCGGCTGGGGCGGGGCTCCCCGCGCCCCCCGGAGAGGCGGCTGGGGCGGGGCGGCAGAGGCAGGGAAGGGACAGTAGCGCGGGATAATTTTAGCCGTGGACGAGAGCCCAGCAGTTGTCCTGCGGAGGTCCGTGCTCAGTGGGGGTTATCCAGAATAGCTCTGCAGCGGGGGCGGGGGGAGCTGGCAATTGAGCCGCTGGGGCTTCGGCTGATGTCACCCACATGAAGTTGCAGGCACTTCAGTCCTGGGCCCCAGTGGATTCCTCCAGAACCTTCCAAGCCAGGGAGGTGTGGAGAGGGAGGGAGGGGGAGACAGGGCACGCGGGCGGCAGGGCCAGGGCAGAGGCCCTTGCCGTCCCCTGGGAAACCCCGGGCCTCCCTGCTGGGATCCCCTGGGGCTCAGCCTGCCAGAGCATCCGCTTCTGAGAGGAGTGGGGGTCAGCCAACCTGTGATGTCAGCCCCACTCACTGCTTCCTGTTTTCCTCCTAGTTGTTGGCAGTAGGAGCCCTGTATGGTCCAGGATTCCTGCCCCAGGCCTCTGCCCCAGAACACAGCAACACCCGCTGAAGGGTGGCCGCACCCCTCCGTGCACGCCACTGGGTTACAGCGTCCAGCCTGAGCGGACAGAGGGGCACCATCAAGACGGGGTGCGCACACACGGAGGGGCACCACCCCGCTGTTGAAAGCCAGGTGCCAGCCTGCCGGCCGCCCGGCGTGCACGGGCCAGCGGGAGCCCAGTGAGCCCGGAGACGGCGCTGCGTGACGCCCTGCCAGTTCCAGAAAGAACGGGGCGCAGAGACCGAGGCCAGAGACCAAGGCCAGGCCCCCTTGAAACTGGCTGCAGAACTGAGGCTCTCAGGTGGAGGGAGGCGGGGGGCCGGGAGGGGGCTCCCCAGGGACTGTGTGGAGGGACGGTGCGGTGTGGTGGGGCAACCTCCCTCTGTACCCCTGAATCATATCCTGAGTTCTAAACCACGTTACTCAATGCAAGCAAAACAAACATAAAGAAAGCAGCTGCTGATTGGCGTGGCATCGTCGCCGACTTGGTGAGTCTACGCCCCCGTTTGAGTCTACGCGGTCTTTTCGGCCTTCCCCGTTTCATGCCCCTGGCCTGGCCTCGGCTGGAGCTCGGGAACCCAGCCAGGAGCAGGGCCTGGGTGTGCGCCTCTGCCCCCCGGGTTCGCCGCGCAGCCCTGGCACCCTCCTCGTGCTCGTCCAGGGCGCTGCGTGGGGTCCTCGAGCTGCGCCCGCCCGCACCGGGCCGAGGCTCCCCTCCCTGGCTTTCTCGGG